TCTGATCTAACTTTTCATGAATTCGAAAAAGCATTCAAATCCCTTTAAAAAAAGCAAGCGAAGCAGATGACAAACGGTAATATAATTATAGAATGTTTTGAATAATTAAAAGATATACTTTTTAAGGTTTATGGAGCATTTATCCACCAAGGAGTTTTTCCGGATCAATTAAAAATTGTTAAAATTACCCCAATTTAAAAAAAGGGAGATCAAACAAATATCAGTAATTATCGTTCTATCTCCGTCCTCTGCACATTCTCAAAAATACTAGAACGCATTATGTATAATAGAAAATCTTCTTTCTAATAATTTGTTATACGCCAACCAGTTTGGTTTTAAAAAAATAATTCGACGGAACATGCAATTATCCAACTTGTACGTGAAATTTCAAATTCTTTTAAAAAATCTAAATTTATATTAGGTGTTTTTATCGACCTATTGAAGACGTTCGATACTGTAGATCATGAAATTTTTATACAAAATGGTTCCGAAGTTATTTATCTAACCGTAAACAATTTGTTTTTAGTAATAGTTGTTATCCAAATGAGTTCCTAAATGTTTCTTGTGGCGTTCCCCAAGGTTCCATTTTGGGACCACTGTTGTTCTTGATTTATATAAACGACCTAAATAAAGCCTCAAATTTAATGAGTATAATGTTTGCTGATTACACCAACTTATTTCTTTCCAATAATGATATTTACAAACTCTTTTCTAGTATGAACAATGAACTTAAAAACATATCAAAATGGTTTAAATGCAATACGCTAACTCTTAACAGTAACAAAACGAAATGGATTCTCTTCCACCCAATCGCAAAAAAACCTTATTTACCCCAAAATTTATCAGAAATCTTTATTGATAATACTGTGATAAAAAGACACTATGTCACAAAGTTTTTGGGTGTTTTTCTTGATGAAAACATCACATGGAAAGCGCATATTGACTATATTAGCACAAAAATTTCTAAAATCATTAGAATTTTATATAAATCCAGAACATATCTATGTAAAAAAGATTTAACCCAACTATACTACTCATTTATTCATACCTATTTAAATTATGCAAATATTGCTTGGGGAAGCACAGAAAAAAGCAAGTTACAATGTCTTTACCGCCGTAAGAAGATGCGATCCGTTTAATTAATTTTGCGGATCGATACACACATTCCAAACCTTTTTTTATTGAAATGAAAATTCTTAATATTTACGAGCTTAATGTGTTTAATGTTTTATGCTTTATGTATCTGTGGAAAAATCACTTATCCCTACCTATCTTAAAAGTTCTCTTTTGTGAAAATCCAATAAATAAATACACTCTTAGAAATAATAAATTTTTGCATAAATCTTTTTGTCGAACAAATTTTAACCAATATGGTATTGCTTATCGTGCGCCATATCTTTGGAATAAAGTTGTTTTGCCAAATTTTGATATATTTTACTCTTTTCCAATTTTCAAACATAAACTCAAAAATTTTACTTTATTTTCCAATGACATAATAAGGTTCTTCTAATTGTAATTATGTACCTTTATTTAGAACTTTTTTAATTGTAAAATACGTTTTATGTTAATTGTAAAATACGTTATATGTAGCGACTTTTTTTGTTTTACTTTTCTGTTTATTTTATAAACAGATTATATACATTGTAAATAATTATGCTAAATGCTTGTAAAAGGTTCTGATGATAAGATCAGTACTATCTTCTTTCAGAAACCTTGTTTGTTTTTGTTAAAGTATTGTATTACGAGGTTCTAGGAAAAAATCCCCCCGTAATAATCCCCCGATAAAAAATCCCCCCGAGAAAAAATCCCCCCGGAAAAAATCCCCCCGGGAAAAAATCCCTCCGAGAAAAAATCCCCCCGGAAAATATCCCCCTCCAAAAAAAAAAATTTTTTTTTACATAAAAATTATCGATATGCAGTTATGTTTATTTCTTTATTTATTTTAAATATTTATATAAAATACTTCATTTTTCATCAAAATGTCAAGTTAAGCGCTATTTCTCAAAGGTAGTGAATGTGAAACCCTAACCCTAACCCTGACGAACTGCTAACTAGTAAAATGTGAACTTTTTTGCGAACAATCGTAGTTAATTTAGCGGTATATTTTAAGGACTTACAAGCGAAAAAAATATTTTTTAAAAATAAATGGAAATTAAGTGAAACTTGACGAAAACAATATGAAAATATATATATATTTTTTAATTATTTGATAGACTGCCTGCCCAACCCAAACCCTCAGTAGATGTGGCAGCACTCCTTTGCGAGTCAGGCTATTTGTCAGTCGATGTAGCAGCACTCCGTTGCGAGTCAGGCTATAAAATATTCGATGTAGCAATACTCCGCGCATGTTTTACAGTTAAAAAATAAAAATTTTATTTTAAATAAAGCTTTAAAATAGAATATTAGGAATTGGAGAGTTTTTTTTTATTATTTTTTTTTTACCGAGAGCCGAGAAATAGCGCATAACCTTACATTTTGATGAAAAATGAAGTATTTTATAAAACTATTTAAGATAAATAATTATAACTATTTTATTGATAGTTTTTATGTAAAAAAGAATTTTCTTTTTTTGAGGGGATATTTCCCGGGGGGATTTTTTCTCGGGAATTTTTTCCCAGGAGGATTTTTTCCGGGGGGATTTTTTTCTCGGGGGATTTTCAGGGGATTTTTTCCTGCTACCGTATTACGACAAATGTAAACTTAAAATGTAAAAAAAAAAAAAAAAAAAAAAGAAAAAAAAGTTTTGACACTTACAGACATTGTGGCAACTCCAAACTTTTGTATGTTTATGCTTATGTCAAATGAGAATGTTTTGCAAAGAGTTGTGGTGATTGGAGTTTGGGGACGAAAAACCCCGAATTTTTGGGCCCACCCAGTACTTAACGCGGAAGCAACAAGTTGATAAAATAATTTCTATAGTATTTTTATCTAAATTTATATTCATCAACAAACCTCAAATTTCATGCAATAATCTCTTATTTTTCAAAAATTATGACCATATAAAGTTTACAGCCCTCTCAATTTGAGAGGGCTGTAAACTTTGTAGGGTTATAAAAACTAAACACTTAGAGGCTATTGTATGAAATTTGAAATTTGTGGATGAGTAAATTTATTAAAGTATTTAATAAATTTGTTGCTCTTAAGTTAAGGGCTGGGTGGGCCCAAAAATTGGGGGTTTTTTGTCCTCAAGTTCCAATCACCACAACTCTTTGCTAAACATTCTTATTTGACATAAGTATGAATATACAAAAGTTTGGAGTTTGCACAATGCCTGTAAGTGTCAAAACTCAAACATCTAAAAATACACACCACTGCAAACTTAAACTTTTCTTTTTCTTAAATAAATTTATAATTTTAATTAAGTTATAAATAATATAAGTTATAATTTTAATAACAAAAGTTTTTTAAATTTTGTTAAATTTTATCCGAAAACATTTTTTAATTACTAATTTACCGAATGAGGAAGGTTATTATTTAGAAAACGAGTCTTTAAAATGTTTTACTTCGACCGCCAAACGCATTTAAAAATATATGAATAGTGATTATTTTGTTTATATATATATATATATATATATATATATATATATATATATATATATATATATATATATATATATATATATATATATATATATATATATATATATATATATATATATATATATATATATATATATATATATATATATATATATATATATATATATATATATATATTACTGATCAAAATAAAAACTTTCAGTGAAATCAGATTTTAAAAACCATCAACCTAGAAATATTTACAAACCTCAATTATGTCCTTACCGTAATATAAAACTTAAATAAACATATTAAATCCCAATTAGACAGCTGTTACAAATTATGCATTTGACCACAAGCCAAACAAGAATTAAACTGTTTTATGTTCTGCAAAAAATAATAATTTGGATTAACAAAATGTTGATTTCAGGTTGACTCTAAATTGAATTTAGATTTACGAAAAAACTACCGACAGAATTATTAGGACCCTCCCCCCCCCTCCTCTACTCCACCACTCACTAAAAATTAAATGAATAGAATAGAATTTTCCTTTTTAATCTCCCTCCCCTATTGTGCGAAAATTGTTGCAAGACAAATATTTTAGAAATTTTTTTACATCTACTAAAAACTTTATGCAAAGCAAATTTTGATTTATAATTTATCTTTGAAAGTTGTGAAGCTGAGCTATATGAGATAAACAACAAATCAACCTCAAAGTTTAACTTCAACCAAAAATCACGAGCGACTAGCGGATGACAATAGTAATACTTGAAAACAACGTTTTGGGTACATAGTGCGTATATCTTTTTAAATAGATAAATTACGATTATTTAAGCGCATTAAGCCTAGATTACTTTTTCGGGTCACATCAAGCATACAAGTTTATTCTTTTTGTAATATTATTTTGCTGCTGTGATATTTTATTAATAGTTTTAAATTTAGTGTTTATAAATAAAATAAATTTATTTTATAAATAGTTTATAAATAAAATAGTTTATAAATAGTTAATGAAGAAAATAGTTTATAAATAAACTTTATAGTTAATAAATATAGCTTATAGTTATAGTTTATAAATATAGTTTATAGTTATCAAAATAGTTTATAGTTTATAAACTTTATAGTTTATAAATAAAAAAATAAATAGTTTATAAATAAAATTAAAATGTGTTATAAATAAAATAAAATAAAATAAATGTGTTTATAAATAAAATAAATTTGTTTATAAATAAATAAAATAAGGTTGTTTATAAATAAATAAAATAAATGCGTTTATAAATAAAAAAAAAAAAAATTTTATTTCCTTTGCTCCATGAGCTCATTTGTCTTAAACTCAAAACAACAAGCAGATGTATGTTATCCATTTAAAAAGATATACGCGCCATATACCCAAAATGTCATCCGCATATCAGGATTTAGTCGCTCTTAAAAATCACATCAAAAATAACTTAATATAAGTTGTAATACACAAAAAAAAAAATCACCTGTAATTATTTTATAGCATTTGATGTCAACCTCTTTATCATCAGAAACATTTAAACAAATTATAATAATATCCAATTTGTCTATTAATCTTTTAGCATACTGCTTCGTTTTTATCTGCTCAACAGCTTCTGTAGCATCTTTAATATAATTTATCTCCATAACAAGACCATTTTTATTTAATTCATCAATAAGCATAATATCCGCTCTTCCATTACCAAAGTATACCTCTGCACTAAACTTTGATAAAGATTTGAGCTGAAGTGTGATGTAAGTCATTACGCTAGGTATAAGTTCTTCATTGCCAATTTTTTCAAACTTGGGAAACTTTTTTAATAAATTTATAAATGATATTTTTAAACTTTCAGAAGCTTGATCAAGTTTTGTACTATTATGTAAACATTCAAGATTTTTTTGCAATTGGTCAGAAATATCTAAAAACAACTTTGAATCTATGTTGTATTGCTGATTATAGTATATCCGCAACATATTCTGAAACTCAAATTTTAATTCCTTATTTGGTAGTTTAAACCCATTTTTCTCAGAAAAAGTTAAGTATCCCACATGAAACAAGAATGAAAACAGTATATCAGTTGTTGATTCATTAATTGCATAGTTAGAACCTAAAGATATTACTTCTTTTATTACCATTAAGTCCGTATTACTAAAATAATTCTGTAAATCGAAATAAAAAGGTTCATCTTTTAACAAGAGATCTATTTTGTTTTTTATTGATGGTAAATCAAACAAATCTTTTAAAAAATCAATATTCTTGCTCTTGTTCCAGTAACTTTGTAAAATTTTCATTTTTATTTGACAATAATTTTGATCCTCGCTATATTCTTTAAATTTTGTTAAGCAATTAACTATGGACCATGGATTATATAGTTCAACTCCTTTAAGTGTATAACCATTATACCAATCTTTCATTTCTTGACCTAAACTCTCTGGAACATTATATTGATCAAATAAGTATTTAATTTCATGTTCAGTAAAACCATAATGATGAAAAAATTTATCATCTAATATACTGTATTTAGTTAAATTTAGCAAAGAAATTAAATTAGCTTGCCTAAACACTCCAGTTATTAATCCTTTTTTTAAATAGCGATTGCTTTTGAAGGTAGCTTCATTTATAATCATGAAAAGCTCTATTACTTTTATAGACTCTTTACTGCAAAAGTTAATTGATGAATGGTTTATTGCAGAGTCATACTCGTCCATAAGAATAAAACAATGTTTGCCAAAGTGCTTAAATAATAGACGACTTAACGTAAATAATCCTTTACATACTTCAGTGTAAGTTAAGTTTTGGTGATCTAAATTATCAATATACTTGATGAATAGTTTAATTTCATCTTCTCTAAGCTTGCTACTAGCTATTAAATATACATGCTCTAAAAAAGTTTCATGCAATGCTGACTTTACTAAACTTAAAACTTCATTGTATGAATTTCCTTTTGTATTTTTGAAATTAACTGTTACTACTGGAAATTGCCCGAGAAGCCCCTGTATAAAACTTGGATGCTGAGCTATTTTAAGTTCATTAAACAATATGGTTGTACCATCTGCGTCTCCTAAACCTATTTCTCCTCCTAAAAATAGCTTATGATTTTCTCTTTCTTCTTTGGATAGCAACTCACCCTTCTGGTTGACTTCAATACTAAAAAATTTTTTTATCATGTCTATATTTAGGCTTTTACCCCATTGTCTTGGATAGGTAATTAACAATGTTTGTCCAGAATCTTCAAAAATATCTTTAATTAGTATTAGTTTAAGTTTTATCTACAAAAACAGTGCTTTCGATTAAAAATCTTTTAAATTCACTCACTCCAATAGCTGTTTTAGCTTTAAACGTATTCTCATTGATCATTCTCGTAAAGATTTTAAACACGATACAAATTTATGAAATACGATACTTTTCTATAGTCTTAACGAATCAGAAACGCTTTTGATTTTAACTTAAAACTATGAACTTAATGATATATTAAAAATAACTTATTCTTAATATATCATTGACGCAATTCATTGACGTTATTTTTACAGGGTTATTCATTTTTATATGCGCATTTATTCATTCTTATTTGCGCGAGTCAACCACCCGTAAAATATAATTTTATGTAAACAATAAATTGGCATTAATTTTTTTAATGTTTTTAGATAGATATACTTAAAATATAAATTAGGTTGTTTCTACTGCAATTTATTTTGAAAAAGATTGCCGAGCCAGCGCTAAATTTATTTAATAATGATAAATAATTAAATTTAAATCTAGATAATTGAGTAATTAGATAAATAATAATTAAATCAATAAATATTTTTTTTTTTTTTTTTTTTGTTATTATTTTTAGGTGCCCTAAAGGTCTTGTCGCAGAGCACCGCGGAAGTGCATTTAACCAGGAAGTTTACGCCTCCTTCCTTAGGGGAGACCGGGGTTGGTTGCAACAAAATTTTAAAAACGTAACTTATACCCTTTAAATATATATTTTTTCGATTTTATTTTTCAGGGTTATAAAATAGATTTAAGTTACGTATTAATCCAACATTGATAAATAAAATATCAAATTTAGTTATTCCGCAATAGTGAAACAAAAATATGTTGCATTTTACCCCGCACCGGGGCGAATTGCAACAGTGCACGGGGCAAGTTGCAACACAATACTTTTAAAGTATAAGCTTTGCAGAGTTCACATAAAAATTACTAGTTAATCTGTAATTTCTATTTGGCAACAAAACATTATAATTAAAAGAAAAGAAAAGTAGTATTTTAGACTTGACATGTACCTGACATGTTTAGTAAACTAATGCTTACATTCAAAGACTTTAAAAACTGAAGAAAGAAAATAATGAGGATTATTATTTAAGCTCATATATTATTTAAACTTTTAAGTGTTTTTTTAAAAAAGTATTCCTTTAGTTATTCAGTAAACATTAAATCAATTTATAAAAATGCAAGAGTAGTTTTATAAATAATATAAAACACAACTTTCATAAAAATAAACAATAATCTAACTTTGATAACAAAAAAAAAAATTTCCAAGCAATAAAGGCTCATAAAAAAACAAACTAGCATTAAAGAAACTAAAGAGTTTCATTACATTTCAAGTCAACAATTATACTTTTTTATTGTTTTTTTTTTTGATGCAGAAGTACTAGCAGATTTTCGCTTTCTAGAACTAATTTCTTTTTCAGCCATAAGACGCTGTTTTACTGGTGTATCTGTGAGTACTTCTGTATGCTTTCTCTTTGATCTAGTGAGTATTTCTTTCCTGGGTCGTGCTTTTGGTAGCGGTCTTACAACCTCAGGGGAAAATTTTGAAACTGCAGATGGAATTGCATCTGAGGTTGAAGTTGATATACTAATATCAATAGCTGCATTAGATTGGGTTGCTGGACGATCCGTAACAAATGATGGAGCAAAATCTGCATCTGAAAATATATCCTTATTATATGGCAATATTCCTGCCACTCTAAAACCAGAAGATATATTTTGTTGTGTAAGAGAATGTTGTAATGCTATTTTTGCAATTCCTGGTAAATCATATATACTCATTGTTTTCCCTGGACTACTTTTTATCCATGAGTCTTGTGCATTAGCTAAGCATTTTTTAAATGGTCCGAATACAGATCTATCTAGAGGTTGCAACTTATGCGAACAATGAGGAGGGAAAGAAAGCAAAACTATACCATTATCTTTACACAATGTTATTAATTGAATAGATAAATGAGATTGATGATTGTCTAAAAGTAATAACACAGGGCTTTCTTTTGATGGCTTTACATGTCGAATAAAGTGGTTTATGTAAGTAATAAAGCACTCCTCATTCATCCAGCCTGATCCATTCGAAGCACCAATGCAGCCATTTGGCCCATCACGAATAAAGTGATCAAAGAATTTCTTTCTTGGAAAAAGAAACATTGGAGGCACACTATTGCCATATGCATTTACGGCTATTACCATTGTCACTAATGTCCCTCGCTCTTGAGAAGTTAATGCACCCACTTGCTTAATGCCTTTACGAGCAATTATTTTGTTTGGTTTTTGCACAGTGGTGATACCAGTCTCATCAACATTAAAGATATTTGATGCAGAAAAATGATGCCTATCTAAAACATCTGATAATTTTTGAAAAAAAACACCTACATTAGCACGATTAAAGCTAGTTGCTCGTGCAAGACTTGTTGCTTCTGGAGTTCTGATAGACAATCTTGGATGTCGGTTTAAAAACCCTCTCATCCAATCAGGACCAGCCATGGAATGTTTTAACCACGATTTGGGAAAAATAATACCATACTTTACTGCACATTCAAATGCAAGCTTTCTTGTTTCATATGGTGATAATCCAAAATAGATATCAGAACATATTGATATATATGAAGCAATAGCTATTTCTTGTTCATAAGTAAAAACTTGATTCTTTTTATATCCAGGATAAGGTAGTGGCATTCCCATATCAACAGCTTTTTTAACTTTTTTTATATAACGAGAAAGAGTCGAGTAGTGGATTCCAAACTTTTTTGCTGATGCACGAACTGATGTTACTCTTCCATCAATAACGTGGCTTGCTGCCTCTATTACTACTTCTTTTGGATAAAGTCCTTTTTCAGTTTTTCTCTTGTAAGTTCGCATTTACAATTTTTATTAAACCTCTAAATAACATAACAATAAAAAAACACATTACAAAAATCATTTTATATAATTTAGTCTAAATTGCTACATTTATTTATATACCTATTAATGTTTTAAGTATGTACTTAATAATAATAATATTTTAATAATGTAATTATAACTTTTACGTATGTATGTATATAAATGTATATATATAAATGTATATATATATATATATATATATATATATATATATATATATATATATATATATATATATATATATATATATATATATATATATATATACATTGTATATATATATATATATATATATATATATATACTGTATATATATATATATACACACTGTATATATATATACACACTGTATATATATATATATACACACTGTATATATATATATATATATATATATATATATATATATATATATATATATATATAGTATATATATATATATGTATGTATATATATATATATATATATATATATATATATATATATATATATATATATATATATATATATATATATATATATATATATATATATATATATATGTCTTTGAATATAAAAGATAAGTTTATATTCTATGTTTATATTTATATTCGAGGATTATATAATCCTCGAATATAAATATAAACATAGAATATAAACTTATCTTTTATATTATTAGACATATATACATATGCTTTATAAATATAACATACATATGTACGTTACATAGTCTTATCTTTAAAATTATAATTTTTTTTCAAAAACTTCTTTGCTGTCTTGTTATTAAAAAAAAGTCGATTATTTAGAAAAGTGCGTAAAATTAATAAAGTCCGCAGTTCTTTTGTGATTCAACTTACCCCGAGCAATTTGATGCAACTTACCCCGTAGGCATCATGATCACTCTAATCAATGCATACAATTAGCCATATTAAAAAAATCTATTTTTTTTTACTTTTTGTGTTTGAAAAAGATTTTTTTAACTTACTATTATTTTATTATTGTCATATACTTCTTAGTTTTTTGTAAAACCCAAAAAAACATTGAAACGAAAATTAGAAATTTATATAGAAAAAAAACAATTATCAATAACTTTTAAATTTTTAAGTTTATTACTATAAGTTTTTTATAACTTGCGTGTCATAATTATAGTTATATAATGTAAAAAAATTGAAAAATAATATGTAAAAATTATTCTTTAAAACGCATTGTTGCATCTTACCCCTGTTGCAACCAACCCCGGTCTCCCCTACCGTGACGATTTAATAGTAAAATTAAACAAAACCTAACACTAAATTAAATAAACCATCATCGAATGTAAAAAGTCTTCGTTTTAAGTATTTTAACCTCGTTTACTAGGAAATAAAAAAAAATTTGTTTTGAAAAAATAAATTCTTTTTTTAAAACAAATTGCTTACTTGTAAAATGATTTTTTTTGTTCAAATTGCTTTTTAAAAACGCATATAAGAATGAATAAACACGGATATAAGAATGAATAAATGCGCATATAACAATGAATAACCCTGTAATATAGCATTGACGCAACTACCCGGCGAACCTGCACAAATTTAAAAAAATGGCTAGTATTAATGGCGATTTCGAAGCAAATATTGATTTGAAATTTTTTTCTATAGTAATACCTAATAAAATTTTTTTTGAAGATTTTGGGGTAATTATGACAGTTTTTTTATTTTGAAGGATGGGGCAAGGGAGGGGGGGGAGCGCCTCGAACCCAGTAATATAACTATTTATCGAATATAATTCCATCGTATATAATTATTTATCGAAACAGATCCAATTCAAAAGCGAATAAACATTTACAAAAAATCAATAAAAATGAATTCATTTAAAGCGTTTTGATTCCTGCGGTTCTCTACCACAAGACCTCAAGAGACAAAACAAGAAAAACAACATTCTCCTATTTTTGGAGGCTTCTAAAAACATCCCTTTTAAGTGCTTAAATTTTGAGTATATACAAAAATAAGAATGTAAAAATTATTATATGTAATATGTTTTTGAACATTTGAACAACTTATTGAGAATTCTTGATAACATAAAATTTAAAAAGCGCGCGCATCTAAACTCGCAAACAGGTAGATCACAAACTTCAAACATATATATATATATATATATATATATATATATATATATATATATATATATATATATATATATATATATATATATGTATATATATATATATATATATATATATATATATATATATATATATATATATATATATATATATATATATATATATATATATATATATATATATATATATATATATATAT